TGGAACAAGTGATTAGGAGGCCAAGGTATAGACAGTGAAATTGGTAAGTATCTCCATGACTATGTTCCCATAGCTATCTCTCTCTCCTTAGTTTATGAGACACTGAGGCCAGGTGTGGTATGGTAGCTCAAGCCTGTAATCCCAATACTTTTGGAGGTTGAGGCAGGAAGATGCCCTGAGCCCAGGAGTTTGAGACCAGCCTGGGCAACATAGTGAGACCTCATCTCTACCAAAAAAAAAAAAAAAAAATCCGCTGAGGATGGTGATGTACACCTGCGGTCTTAGCTACTCAGGAGGCTTAGGTGGGAGAATTGCTTGAGCCTAGGAGTTCGACTGCATCACTGCACTCCAGCCTGGGTGACACAGTGAGACCCTGTTTCAAAAAGAAGAAAAAAAAACACTGAGCCAAACTCTAGAACCTTCTTATAATCACCATGACAACCATCATCCAAACTACCATTCACTGAATATTTACTATGGGCTCAGACTGTGTTAGGTACTTTATGCACACTAGGTTATTTATCCTCATACAGACCCCATGAAAAACTTTTATTTCTATTAAAAGAAAAGGTAATTGGGCAAGACACTTGCCAAGGACAAAGAGCTTAGGAAGCAGCAAAGCCAAAAGTTAAAGCCAGGTCAGTCTGACTCCAAAGCCTCTACTCTTAACCACAACAGTGTTTTCTTCTAGCTCAGATTTTTCTTCATAAAGACCACTGACAGCTGCCTACAAACAGCATTAGATTTTTAAATCATTAGTAAAAATTATGTGGAGGCATGATGGTTTCTATTTTCCAATGAAGAAACTTAGATACAGACAGGATAACTGACTTGCCCAATGTCCCATCATCAGCAGATGACAAAGCTAATTCTAGACCCAGCCCTTTTAATTCCCTTTTTATTCAACTATGCTGTATCTTACAGTAGTCTTGTACTACGGTAAAAAAAAATACCTTTTTTTTTTTTTTTTTTTTTTTGAGACGGAGTCTTGTCTAGGCTGGAATGCAATGGCATGATCTTGGCTCACTGCAACCTCCACCTCCCAGGTTCAAGCAATTCTCCTGCCTCAGCCTCCTAAGCAGCTGGGATTACAGGCACGCGGCCACCATGCCAGGCTAATTTTTGTATTTTTAGTAGAGACAGGGTTTCACCATGTTGATCAGGCTGGTCTCAAACTCCTGACCTCAAGTAATCCACCTGCCTCAGCCTCCCATAGTGCTGGGATTACAGGCGTGAGCCACCACACGCAGCCAAAACATACATCTTTAAACTGAGAGCCTCAAATTCAGTCAAGTAACTAGCCCTGCTCACAAAATGAAAGAATGAAACCGAAAGGACTTTTGATGTACTGAAATAATGACAGTGAACATAAACCTCTTCATGGTAACTTACAAATAACAAGCCATATCTGGTTGTGGCCAAGCGATCTCGTGTCAATTAATTAGAATTGAGAGAACCTAAAACCATATGAGAAAGACAGATCTCGATCAAACAAAACCATAAGCACTGGCTGACCTTTTAACTTCAAGAGCCTAACTAGCCAGACCTGTGCATCAGAGAACGAGAGAAAAAAGAAGTGCCAGGATAAGTCCACGTTTCCAATTATACCCATAGGCGATTTCTCTTCCTTCTCATATCTCAGGAAGGGAAGTAAAAAGAAGAGCCGTGTTTTGCCTAATTCCCCTTTATTTGAACAGAAAAATAAGGATTCTCTGAAACTGGGTTCAAGAGGTCTTTATTCTATTAGATCCACAGAAGAACCTAGAAAATGATAAAATATCACACAACACAGCACAACGTTGGTTTACCAATAATGAAATATATAAAGGATCTTAACGTTTTAAATGTTTGTAACATGTAGTCCAAACCAAATAATTATACATTCTGCCATAGATGAGGACATTGGCAGGTCATATAAAATTATACTCTTGAGCTTCAAATGACTAAGTTGGAAGCATTAGCAAACTCAAGGAAGAGGCAATTTAGAGGCTATAATGGGCTTAATGCTGCTATTTAAAGTAATGAAGCATTTTCTCTGCTTTCTGGATTCATTTTACCAAACGATTTCCTCAGCGGGTCAGATATAGATTTGCAGCAAAATGAAAAACATTTTCCAGGAATAAAACAACTGATCCCTACAACAGCTGACTTAACGTTTCTGAACAATAAATCTTCATCTGACATTCCCAGATGCCTCAGAGTGCTGTCACTGATATTCTCAACCTCTTCCTGACCTTGCCAGATCCTTATACTTCATATTTGCCAAACACTATTACTGAGAGGGGATCACTGCACTAGCTATGTGACCTTAAGCAAGTTATTTAACTTCTTTGTGCCTGAGTTTTTTGGGCTCTAAGTGATACACTGAAATAAAGAACAGTGAACATAAACCTCTTCATGATAACTTAAAAATATGCCATATCTGGTTGTGGCTAAACTGTCAATAGCACCTACCTCATGAAGTTGGTAATGAGGACTAAGTGCTTAAAAAGGTCTTAGCACATAGTAAGTACTTAATAAACCTCAGTTATTATTACTGTTATTAACAAAGCTTTTCCCTGGTATCTACAATGAATACTTTGCTCATTTCTTTTTTCTTATAAGTAAAGCCTTAGTTCAGAATTTCCAGATTTCCTACATATGAAGAAGAAACATTTTTGTTTCTAATGGCTGACCTTTTAAATTTAGGTCTCAGAATAAGCACTAACTGAAGCCACCTCATTGTATCTAGTACTTTGTATGTTTTCTAAAGTATTTTACATTCACTAATTCATTTAAATCTTCTAACAATGCTGTGATGAATATATAATATCAATTTTTATTAGTCCAACTTGATAGAAACAGGACAATAAAGTCCAGAGTAATGCTTTGCTTACTGACTATACTGCTAGTAAATGACAGAGAGGCCTAAAAGCCAGAGTGTATAATGTCCAAGCCAGTGTTCATGTAACCATGCAAAGTAAGATATTCTAAGATCCCTTTAGAGCAAATGAAACCATTTCTCATTCCTATTAACTAAAGTCCACACTGTATTCAGATTTCCCTAGTTTCTACCAAGCGACCTTTTTTTTTTTTTTTTTTTTTTGCTGGTACATAACCCTGTGTAGGATACCACATTACACTTAGCAGTCATATCTTCTCAGGCTCCTCTTGGCTGTGACCATGTCTCAGATTTTCCTTGTTTTTGATGGCCTTAATAGTTTTGAGGAATACTGGTTAGGTATTTTATAGAATATGCCTCAACTGGAATTAGTGGGATGTTTTTCTCTGATCAGACTTGGGTTCCGGGTTTTTGGGAGGAAGATCAGAGCTAAAGTGTCATTCTTACCACATTCTGTGTGATGTGATGCTATCAAGGATACATGCTATCAGTAGGGCTTATCATGGATGATGTTAACCTCAATCATCTGGCTGAGCTAGTGTCTGTCAGATTTCTCCACTGTAAAGTTACTCTTTTCCTCCCTTTCCATATTATACTCTTTGCAAGGAAGTCACTATGCAGAGCCCACACTAAGTGGGAAGTATCTACATAAATTATTTGAAATTCTTCTGCACAAGACATTTGTTCTCATTCAATCATTTATATTAGTTTGGACTTGTAAATATTTATTATATAGTTTGGGTTATAATCCAACACTACTTTATTTTGTTACTCAAATTGCTCCAGCTTTGGCCATTCAGAGATCCTTCAGTTCAAGCCTCTATCTGTTTGACATACTCCCAATCACTGTAATTTTTTTTTGAGATAGAGTCTCACTCTATTACCAGACTGGGGTGCAGTGGCATAATCTTGGCTCACTGCAACCTCTGACTCCCTGGTTCAAGCAATTCCCCCACCTCAGTCTCCTGAGTAGCTGGGATTACAGGCATGCACCAGCACACCCAGCTAATTTTTGTATTTTTAGTAGAGATGGGGTTACACCATGTTGGACAGGATGGTCTTGATCTTCTGACCTCATGATCCACCTGCCTCAGCCTCCCAAAGTGCTGGAATTACAGGTGGGAGCCACCATGCCCCGCCCTTTTTTTTTTTTTTTTTTTTTAATTTCAATACTGCAGTTTTCGGTGGCACAAGATGCTCTAGGCTTATCTTGTACATTTCATGTCCAAGCTCTAGAATTAATTTCCAAGGAGCCCTGGTTCCTTTTATTGGAAACCAAAATCTGGGAATCAGGTGTGTTCCCATTCTAGTTGTTTTCTGACCACATAACTGCTAACAAAGATGCTTCATTTTGGCTACACTGATATGAACTTTGAACTTTAGCAGAAGAGCTCAGCTCTAGAGAATAATGATCATCTCCTACGTTATTTTTCTTCCCCAAAGAATAAATAAGTCTAAGCAGAAAAAAAAACATGCAAAGAATTTTCAGTATGAATGAAAAAGACAATTGTAAACCAACCCAACATAGCTATAACAGATCTGCAGAAGGATTCTTAGAATAAGAGAGTCATTTGTCGGGGGTCATCAGGGAGAATACTGATAGTATCTTCGGCTTTGCCACATAACAGACACAGCATGGTATACTCCTAGAACAAGATAAAGTGCATAATTACCTTGAGAAACAGGGAAAGAGATGCTTTATAACTTACTCTGGTTAAGATGTTCTCTACAAATTGTCATGAATGTTCTTTCTGTAAACTGGATCAATTTCTTCAACATGTATCAGCAATGTCTTAGACTTATTCTGTATATTCCAGAGCCTGTTGTTCATATACATTGATACATAAATGTCATCTTGGAAATACATGGCTATTTCTCAGACTTAGCACATATATTTGGCTTAGGGCTGCTATTTAAAGCAGTGGAGCAATTTGAGTATGGGTCCCTATGGACAAATTTCTATTCTTACAGCTGTTCCTTTCTAGGATATTTAACATGAATACACAACAGAAATAATTTTTTAAAAGGAGAAAATTCCCAAACCCAAAAAGCTATTTTTATCTACTCTAGGAAAATAAACAATTATGTTAAATTCACTAGTATGTCCTGCCTCATTTTCAGATAGCTAGTTGTCTAGAATTTGATCTATTTAAGAAGTTTTCTTCCCAGGCTTAACAAATGCCCAGACTGGTAACAGAGGTGATTTTATTTTAGGCAAAAACCCTTAGGCCAAAGTTCTATTCTTTTTTTTTTTTTTTTTTTTGAGGCAGGGTCTTGCTGTGTTGCCCAGACTGGAATGCAGTGGTACAATGATGGTTCACTGCAGCCTTGACCTCCTAGGGTCAACTGATCAGCCCACCTTAGTCCCCCCAAGTAACTGAGATTATATGCATGTGGCATCACACTTGGGTAATTAAAAAAATTTTTTTTGTAGAGATGGGATCTCACTATTTTGCCCAGGGTGGCCTCAAACTCCTAGGCTCAAGTGATCTTCCTACCTTGGCCTTCCAAAGTGCCAGGATTACAGGTGTGAGCCACTGCACCCAGCCAAAAGTCCTATTCTTATAGCTGTCCCTTTCTGGAATATTTAACATAGTCATAAACTACAGAGACATATTTCTTTGAAACCTTTTGTTTAAAAGCCTTTTATCTGCTGTATGAAAACAAACATCTATGTTAAGTCTACTAGAATTTCCACATCTGATGCTGTGATTGCTAGCTGTCTGGAAACTGATCAGTCAAGGCAGTTTGTGTTTTTTGGGTTTAAGACAGTCACTAGAGAGGGTCACAGAGGTAAACAATGACTGTGGTACTAAGAAACAGAAGCAGGCAACTGCCTTTTCCATCTTCTACTGGTGAGTTCAGGAGGGGAGCTTAGTTACAGCAGCAGAAAGATTGCTTTTTGAATTAAAAATAAAATAAAAATACATCCTCTTCAAGGCCTTTTACTGCTGTCAAATACTTCTACTGCTTTAATGTCCGGTGGATGAAAGCAGTAAAAAGCTTTAACCCACCAGACATTACTATTGGGATGGCAATCTTTTATAGGAAAAGAAGGAGGAAAAAAGTAATAGAGTCAAAAACAGAAAATGTGTGAGGCTAAACAAGTACTTGAGTTTTCAACCAATCTAGCCATTGACAAATGTATCCTGAGTGCCTACATGCTCTGCAATGCGCTAGCAGACATGAAAAGAACAAAGTCTGACTTTACAAAATTTGCAACCTAAGTTGGTAGGGGAAAAAAACCTAATAGATAATCTGGCAAGATTATTTAAATCAGTGAGACTGATTACACCTGTAATTTTTATAGGCAGTCTGGAACCCAAATTTCATTGCAAGTCAATTATTTGGAATTCAAAAGCAATTTCCCAAAGAAGTAATGTTATACATGGCAGTTAGGGTCTCAGAAAAATCCACAAGCCTTTAAAATTTATATTGTTCAAGTACCATAGAATCTAGCCATATATAGAAGTGCTTCTGTGGGAAAATATGTCTAGAATTCTAACTTGGGATGCCAGGAACACGTCTCCCTGTGCTGCCAGGAATATGATGAGATGAGGACACCTTTTATCAAAACCAGCCAAGAAGAGAAAATAATTCCCCCAGTCATTCATAGGGACTCTCAAAGCCTCCAACTGTGCAGAGCCTAGGGGAAGAGATTTGGAGGGAAGAACAGAGTGGTGGAATCACTTTGGAATCCAAGTAAGACCAGATTTTTTTTTTTTTTTTTTTTTTTTTTTTTTTTTTTTTTAATTCTAAGGGCCCCTTTACTCTTTTCGTCTATTACTCCCTGTTAATTCTGACTCCAAGTCCTCTCCTTCCCTGGCTCACAGAGCAACAGAAAGGAGTCTCATAGTTTCCATCTTGTTTCTTGAAGTAAACACACAGTGCGTTTTGGTTGGGGGCTGGGAGCTTTCAGCAGGGGGATTTTTTTTTTTTAATAAAGGATACCTATAATAATTTATGACGAATTTTCCATGTAAATTATGTTGCTTTGTCTCCACTTTCCCCCTAGTCTTGCCATCAGAAAATCCTACTTTGTTCAACAATGGCATTATGGCTGTTTTAAAAACAGAATCCTTATCTTTCAGAAAGGCTAATGAAATATTTACAGAGGTAGTGATATGTTTGGAATTTTCTTGGAAATAATCCTATGGGGAGATGTGGGGATAGTGGAGCATGAATAAAGCAACTTGAAGCTGGGTAGTGTATGTTAGGACACGATTCTGCCTACTTTGGACTACGTTTACATTTCCTATAACATGTTTAATATAAAACAATGGTGGCTGGGAATCCCACCCTGAACTTGAACTACTGCTCGGATAGGCTAGGCGGTTGGGGTCGGGTGGGGACAAGGACAGTAAGTAATGGCAGATGAGAATGGAGAGTTCTTGACGCCATCAGGCTGAGGTAGAAGTTCCCAAGTGGCTGTTCACTAGAGTCAGGGCCTGATATAGGTACAAGGAAAGTTCAGAAAAGGGAAAAAATGCATGAGCTTCAAGAGCAAAGAGGCGATGGAATTTGAGTTCTGCTAAGAGGTAAGATTTAGTTGGCCTGAAGGTAGAGACAGGGATAATTCAAATCAATGAAAAGTCATGAGTATGGAGAGTAATATGGAAAAGGGCAAGTGCATCACTTACGTCGTAAAAGGGAAAGGAAGCTGCTCTTGGTTTGTAGGCAGGGGAGTGGAGGATGACATCCTGAAGAAGATTAACTTGATGGCAGTGTGCAGAACTGCAATCGAGGGAAGGCTGCAGTAATTCAGGCTTCAATGGGTATGACCCTTGACATGGTATGTGGGCAGAGCCAGAAAAAAAAAGCGGGCAAAACAAAGAAAAGAGGGCATGAGGGGTGTAGGCGTGAAGGCTAGAGAAGGCAATGTGAAAGGTATTTAATAGGTCTCAATGAGACTGAGTACATGTGTGTTCACTACATGAAAGAGCATAAAGAAGGTTCCAGACCACAGACCAAAAGCTCAGGAGTGTCACTTAGGGAAAACAGGAAAGAAAGTGAGAGAAAACACAAAGGAGCAGTTAAAATGATTTTATTTGTATTTTTTTTTTTTTTTTGAGACAGAGTCTCACTCTTGTTACCCAGGCTGCAGTGCAATGGCGCGATCTCGGCTCACCACAACCTCCGCCTCCTGGGTTCAGGCAATTCTCCTGCCTCAGCCTCCTGAGTAGCTGGGATTACAGGCATGTGCCACCATGCCCAGCTAATTTTTTGTATTTTTAGTAGAGACGGGGTTTCACCATGTTGACCAGGATAGTCTCGATCTCTTGACCTCGTGATCCACCCGCCTCGGCCTCCCAAAGTGCTAGGATTACAGGCTTGAGCCACCATGCCCGGCCTAAAATGATTTTAAAAGGAAAAGAGTCAAGCAGTATGGATGGACCTCAAGGGCAGAAATGCTTCAAAAAGACAATAATGATTAATAAAACCAGATGCAGAAGCCATGTAAGAGAGAAAGAAACTAAGGTAAAATGACAGGATTTGGTTAGATTATAGGAAACCTATGGGAGAATAGTTTTAGTACAGTGTAAATGAAAACCAGTTTGTGGGTAGTGAAGAGGGGCATAGGGAAATAAGGAAAATCAGGTAAAGACCTATTCAAGTGGCCAGGCAATGGCCCACACCTATAATTCCAGCACTTTGGGAGGCTGACGCAGGAGGATTACTTGAGCTCAGTGGTTCAAGACCAGCTTGGGCAACAAAGTGAGACCTCGTTTCTACAAAAAAATTTTTGAAAATTAGCCATGCATGGTGGCTTGTGCCTGTGATCTCAGCTACTTGAGAAGCTGAGGCAGGACTGCTTGAGCCTGCGAGGTCAAGGCTGCAGTGAGCTGTGATCATGCTACAGCACTTCATCCTGGGTGGCAGAGTCAGACCTTGTTGAAACAAACAAATAAAACCTATTCAAGTAAAGAAGCAAGAGGAAGAAGAGACGATTACAGGATGAATCAAAGTACACTACAAGGAGAGACAATAACATGAGATTCCTGAGGAAATGCAGTAGGGGTAGCATGAGACAGGAGTAAATAAAAATCTTCCTCTCTAAGAGGAGAGGAGCAGGAGTCTAAAGCTGGGACAATGCTAAGTATGGCATACATACGAAAGAGTAGCAGGAAATAAAAGGGAAGCTGGGCCAGTCCAGTGAGAACATTAAAGTGAGGAGCTTCAATATTGCAGTGTAGCTAAAGGTGGGCTACAGGAAGGCCAGTGAGGTCACCTGAAAGTATCATTTATTTTTATTTTTTAGTAGAGATAGGGTCTCACTATGTTGCCCAGACTGTACTCAAACACCTGGCCTCAAGAGATTCTCCTGCCTCAGCCGCCGCCACCTGAGTAGCTCGAACTATAGGCACACACCACCATGCCCAGCTTTGAAAGATTGCTTATAGTCACAATGCTAGAAACTATGAAATGGTAGTGAAAAAGACTCTTAAACTAGACTCTCTACTCCCAGTCTCCTCTTCTCCAACATCTACTCCCCACTACGCATATTCCATACCCTACCACCAGATTAATTTTCAGATTAAGAGATTTATTCTTATGATAAATCATAGCTAAATCATATGATTTATCCTTATCATAAGGATAAATCTCTTAATCTCTAACTTCACAGAGGTTCGGTGTTTCTCCTCCAACCTTGATAAAAACCAGCTTGTAATTTTACTTAACTAATAATATTATAATGTCTTACCACACATGTGACTGCAGAGTTGTTCAACTTTACATGCCAACTTGGGAAAAAAAAGATAACCTCCTATCACAATTTCCATGTGGGCAAGTATGGTGGCAGTGGACAGCCCACCACTTAAAGGCCACAACTGTGCAATCACATAACTGGGCAGAAAAAAGAAGCACAATGGCAACCTCCTAAGAAGCCAGAATGTGCTACTATTCTTTATAAACAAAAATGACAGAACTGAGATATCATTTGTAAAGTAAACATTTTGATTTGTGACTCTTGTCAAGGGAGGTTTGCACAAATCCACCCACATCTAAAGTCTGTCTCTCAACTTGCACAGATATAGGAAAGGCATGGGGCTGGGAGCAGTGGCTCATGCCTGTAATTCCAACACTTTGGAGGCCGAGGTGGGAGGACTGCTTGAGCCCACGATTCAAGACCACCCTGGGCAACATAGCAAGACAGTATCTCAAAAAAAAAAAAAAAAAAAAAAAAGAGAGAGAGAGAGGCATGGTCTCTTTTAACATATGTTAGCACTTTGCGCTTCATTTATGAAAACTGTATTTAGATTTTCAAGGGCACTTTTATTATTCCCCTAACCTCCCCATAACATACCCATACTTATATTTACCTGAAATTCATCCATGATACTGAATGTATACTCATGTCTGGCTATTACATGATGACAATTCTTACACAAATCTGCTAAAACAAAGAGAGACTTATTATGTAATTAAGTCTTAGAGAGTTTCTTAAAACTTCTATTAAAATTTCTATTCTCAGCATATTATTTAAAGAGAATCTTAAGTCTGTCATATTTAACATAGGTGGAAACCTATAATATCTACCTTGATTTTTAAAAAATTCAGAATCTGCCACATAGCAACACTACATAACTAAGAGTCTGAACTCAGAGACTTAATATGCATTTATTGCCACTGAAAGTTCTTTAAGATAATCAGTTAAAAGATATTTAAGTGTGTTTTTAAATTAGCCAGATCTGTTGTTGTTGTTGTTGTTTTTGAGGCAGGCTGGAGTGCAGTGGCATGATCATGGCTTGCTGCAGCCTCAACCTCCCAGTCTCAAGTTATCCTCCCACCGTAGCCTCCTGAGTAGCTGGGAGGATAACTTGGGCCAGGGAGGGGCTTAACACATGGACCACCACACTCAGCTAATTTATGTGAATTTTTGTGGAGGTGAGGTCTCACTATGTTGACCAGGCTGGTCTTGAACCCCTGGACTCAACCAATCCACCCTCCTGGGCCTCCCAAAGTGCTAGGATTATAGGTGTGAGCTACCTCGCCTAGCCAAGCTGGACCTATTTAACTATGTAAAGGCTTTTATTCTCATGAATAATAGCAACTGCACTGTTAGAACCAATCATAAATAAAAACCAAAGCTGGACATTAAAATGAATTTAATGGTTAAAAAAAGAATCTAGTAAAAACAATGATTTATTGAGTGCCTACTATTTTAAATATTTAATCTTCTAAAAAGCCCAATGAGGTAGATACTATCATTACCACCTTTTTAGAGATAAGAAAACAAAGGCATACTTCAGTTAAGTAACTAGGAAGACTACTGAGCCAGGAGGTAGGGGAACCAAAATTCAAACCCAAACAGCCTAGCTCCAGAGCCCTTACTCTTAACCACTATATCCTATTGCTTAGAATGAAATACAGTCTAAAGAAAACAAATGCTAAAAAGAAAGAAAAAGATTCTTCTAGCTTAAAACATTTTATTGTTTGTTTGTTTGTTAGCTTAGAACTTTTTTTTATCATCTGACTCCATTCTAAAGGCTTGGTGCCTTTCAAACTCCTCTGTCAAAATACCATTACCTGCACATTTATTTCTCATATATTCAGAACGTACCTAAGAACAAGGAGACAAGCAAAAAAATGAATGTGAATAGCTAAATACTTGTCACAATATCTGGGCACTGAAGTACACATATACTTAACTTACAGAAATCCTTAGTGCTAACCTTAGAATTGATTTTTTTACTTTATTTTATTTTTAAAAGATGGGGTTTCACCATGTTGGCCAGAATGGTCTCGATCTCCTGACTTTGTGATCTGCCCGCCTGGGCCTCCCAAAGTGCTGGGATTACAGGCGTGAGCCACCGTGCCTGGCCAGAATTGATTTTTTTATACATAGTTTATTTGGTTTCCCAGGATTGAGGATGAGGAGCAAGATATGAAGGCAGCTTATGATTTAGCAGCAAAAGTAAGGAACAATAGACAGTGAGATTGGAGACCAAAAAAAGCTAGACGTTCTCAGCAGAAACAAGACTAGAAAAACCACTGCATTCCTGAAGTCACTTAATATAGAGACAAACAGCCCTATACACTTTAATAGCTGTTGGAGGATATCACAGCATTATACTGTAGCAGAAAGTGAAAACTCACATGAATGACCCTAAGGTCATAATAATAACAAAAATAAAAAGTATATCTTGTTAAGGCAGTGTAAAGGTTTTAAAAATATGCCCCTGAAAAACAATTTGATGAACAAAAAAATTCAGTGCCTCAATCACAAGCTTTAGTTATCTGCAAAAGTTATTTACATATACTATTTGATGATACCAGATAAATGAGGTGTTAACATTTTCCTCTTAAAAACCTAACTAGTAACTATGTGTGTAATACAATATTGAAATAGGCTTCAGAATATTTTGCGTAACATATCAACTTCCAAAAGCTGATACCTGCTAACACACTCAGGTTAAAAAAAAAAAAGTCTGCTTACGGTCATAGGTAACTATTTCTTCTCCATCCTCTTCTTTCAAGGATTTGTTTGTGATCAGCATAAAATCACGCTTATTGCACACCGCGCAGCCTGTAAAGTTCAGCAAGAAAGATCCATTCTCCAGGCAAGTGTTACCCTGTAACATTAGAAACAGGAATTTAATTTCTTTACATTTCAAAATCTTTAGTGAAAATGATTAATAGACTTAAAATTTCTAAAGGCAAAACGAAACTAAAAAATGGCCAGCATTTACTTCTAGGTTATATACCAATTAATTTTTGAAATTACTAGCTTTCCGAAAGAAGTGTTACTCATGTTAAAAAAAAAAAACAAAAACAAACAAAAAAAGCACAACTAAAGCATAGTGTTAGATCCTTAAGTCTCTCAGGACTTCCTTATGTTGAAAAGAGAGGACAAACTGCAAATAAATATTTAGAAACAACTTAAGGAAATCTTAATACAAAATATGAAAACAGAAAATTAGGAAAATTTAATAGCCAACAGTATTAAACAAAGCATATCAAAACCAGAATTCAATCAAAATAGAAACTGAGTCAATGATAAAGATGATCTTATATACTATGATGCTTAGTTGTTTGTTCAAATAGTTTTGATCCTTGATAACACAAAATAAATGAACAAAAGTAAACTCTCAGCTCTATAGGTGTCAGTCCTTAAGGATACATGTGATTAAGGCAGAGAAGCATTTTTTTTTTTTTTTTTTTTTTTTTTGGTAACTGAGACTGAGTCTTGCTGTGTGGCCCAGGCTGGTCTCAAACTCTTGGGCTCAAACAATCTTTCCACCTCAGCCTCACAAGTATTGGGATTATAGTCATGAACCACCGTTCCTGGTCCAAGGGAAGTCTTTGCTAAGGGGCTAGGAGACAAACAGCAGGGGGCGGGGGTGGGGTGAAGGCATAGCATTAGGGGAGAAACACCTAATGTAGATGAGGGGGTGATGGATGCAACAAACCACCACCATGGCACGTGTATACCTATGTAACAAACCTGCATGATCTGCACATGTACCCCAAAACTTGAAGTATAATAAATTTTTAAAAAATTAAAAATCACTTTACAAATAAACATTTCTGAGCAAAAAATGTAAAGAGTAATTTTAAATAGTGTGACTAAAAATCACTCAAATCAACGTTTCTCCAGTGCATCTATGTATCTGGTATTATAAAGGCACAATGGAGGATTCAAAGATGAGCCAAATATGTTCCCACCTCTAAGAAGTTTTAAGAAGCATCAGTGAAATTAAGATCCATAAATAATGCCACTAGGAAGTCTTTCTGGATTCCAAGCACCAGAATTAATCTCTCCTTTCTGAGTGGCTTCCTAGTTCTATGTATTAAGGAAGAGATTAACTCTGGTGGGAGAAATCAAGACATTACTACATAGTTCAGAGTTATTAAATCACAGGCACACTGTCTTAACTACTAAAAGGGAAAAGGGCCCTGGGATTAAAGTATCCATTTTCAGCTATCAAGAACAAATGCTTTATTTTTTTTTTTTAAATGAAATCTACTGAGGTACAATTTTTTTTTTTTTTTTTTTTTTTTTTTGAGATGGAGTTTCGCTCTTGTTACCCAGGCTGGAGTGCAATGGCCCAATCTCAGCTCACCGCAACCTCCGCCTCCTGGGTTCAGGCAATTCTCCTGCCTCAGCCTCCTGAGTAGCCGGGATTACAGGCGCGCGCCACCATGCCCAGCTAATTTTTTGTATTTTTAGTAGAGACGGGGTGTCACCATGTTGACCAGGATGGTCTTGATCTCCTGACCTCGTGATCCACCCACCTCGGCCTCCCAAAGTGCTGGGATTACAGGCTTGAGCCACCACGCCCGGCCGAGGTACAATTTATATACAATAAAATTCACACACTTTAAGGGTACATATAGGTGAATGACTTTTAATATATACCCATGTAAACACTACCGCAGGCAAGGTATAACACATTTCTAGGCCGGGCATGGTGGCTCCTGCTTGTAATACCAACACTTTGGGAGGCCGAGGTGGGCGGATCACAAGGTCAGGAGTTTGAGACCATCCTGGCCAACACAGTGCAACCCGTCTCTACTAAAAATACTTGGGAAGCTGAGGCAGAATTGCTTGAACCTGAGAGGCAGAGGTTGAGTGAGCCGATAGCTCCACTGCACTACAGTCTGGGCGAAAGAGTGAGACTCTGTCTTAAAAAAAAATTCTATCCACTCAAAAAGTTCCTTCATGCTTTTCAGTCTATCTCTGACCTCCATCTCACCTCATACATCCACTCACCTGATTTCCATCTCTACACTCTTGCACGTTCTAGAATTTTATATTAACAGAATCGGTATACTCATATCCAACTTCTCTTGCTCAATATAATGCCTATGTTAATCATCCCTGTTATTGTAGGTATTGGTACTTTGTTGCTTTTTATTGCCAAATAGTATTCCCTGTAAGATTCATCTGTTTATAGACACTTGGGTTGTTTCCATTTGGGGCTATTATAAATAAAGCAGCTATGAAGATTCATGTGCAATTCTTAGATGGACATGTATTCCTTTCCCTTGGTTAATATCTGGAAGTAGAATTACTGAGTAATATGGTAAAAATATTTAACTTTACAAGAAACCTCCAAATGGTTTTCCAATATACATTCCTGCCAGCAATACTAGGTATCTTTTTATTTTAGCCATTCCAGTGATGTAAAGTGCTATCTCATTGTAGTTTTAATTTTTGTTTCCTTGATGACTAATGATGTTGAGCATCTTTTCATGGTGTTTATTCATATATCTTCTTTTATGAAGTGTCTACTCAAGTCTTTTGCCCATTTTCAAAAAGTTAGGTTGTTTGAGTTATAATAGCTCTTTATATATCTTAGATACAAGTTTTTTCCCAAATATATTTTCTCTCTGTAATTAATTTGTCTTTTTTAATGGTGTCTTCCGATGAGCAAACAGTTTTGATTTTTATAAAGTCCAATTTACAATTTTTTCTTTTATACTTCATGCTTTTTTTCTCCTAAGACATCTCTGTCTACCCAAGGGTTGTAAAGAGTTTCTTCTTATTTTTTTTTTTTTCTAGTTTTCTAGTTTTAGTTTGTAGGTTTAGGTTTATAATCCATTTTGAAATAATTTTATATATGAGGTAACAATCAAGGTTTATTTAGTTCCATATGGATATCCAATTTTTCTAGCAAGATTTGTTGAAGACTATCTTTTCCACCACTGATTAAGAATGGTGCCTTTGTAGGAAAAAGTCAATGACTATACATATGTGGGTCTGCTTTGACTATTCTGTTCCCTTGATATACATATCTACCCACCCACTACTATCAAACTCCCCTGAATACCATAGTTTTATAGTAAATCTTTAAATCAGGTAGTTTATGTCCTATAATCTGGCCATTCCTGGTTGAGTTTCATGTAAATTTTAACATCAGCTTATACACTTAAAAAAAAAAGTCTACTGGAGTTTGAATTGGAGACTGCCTTGAATCTATGAAAGCTGACTGCCAAGGACTCCAAAAAATTAAGGAAAGCAAAATAGTTTTTAAAAAGATCTAAACACCAATATCAAGTAAATAGACCCCAGAACTGGACTACAGCCACAGACACAGGTTCCTTGCACAATGAGGCCTAACCTCTGTAACCTGAGTAATTCTGCCTCTTGTAAGTAGACAGAATGTGACTCTAAGGAAACACTGAAAGAAGAGAAGTATCTATATATCTGTTGTCTGGTAAGTAAATGCTTCAAATGGCAAAATACAAGTATAACGTATAAGAAATGGATGGGACTTTCTAGAAGAGCCCTGGTCATTTGAAAGTAGCAAGAGTAACCTTCATCAGTGAAGCATAGCTCTTTTATTAAATGAGACAAGACTATTAACATCCAAATTTGGAAAAGTAAACTAAAGCACACATTACTCAGCGCAGGTTTTGAGGCTCCCATAACAGGTAGAAAAAGAATGCAATTCAAATCAATTCCACAATAGTAACAGTAGATCCTAACAGTTTCAAGAAGAAGGGGAAGAAAATCAACATGTTAAGTACCCTTAGAAAATGTGATTCAGATAGGAGAGAGATCCAAGACGGCTGATCACTAGCAGCTCGGGATTGTGGCTCCCAGTGAAAGCACAGAGAACAAGAGGATGCCACACTTTCAGACGAATTTTTGTTGCTCACGCACCAGGAGATTCCCAGCGGAGGAGCCCCACGGGTCGCCAGCGCGACTCTTGTGGCCAGCGAGGCGGTTTTGCCGCTGCCTTGGTGCGGCGGTTCTTGGTGCAGAATCAGAAAAGCACCATCAATCTTAACGCCGCTGTTTTGGCCGGCGCAGTGGGTTGCTCAGATTTTAGCGCTGGGAATCAACAAGTTGGACATCCACTCAGAAACCCAATTAAAAAGACGGTAATTATAAAGACCACAGATGGATAAATCTATAACGAAGGGAAGAAATCAGCCTAAAAAGGCTGAGAATACCCAAAATCAGAATGCCTCTCCCTCTACAGGGGATCACAGTTCATCAGCAATGGAACAAGGTCTGATGGAGAACGAGTGTGTTCCGTTAACAGAAGCAGGCTTTAAAAGGTGGATGATAAGAAACTTCAGTGAATTAAAAGAACTCGTTCTAACCCAATGCAAAGAAACTAAGAACTTTGAAAAAAGGTTTGACGAAATGTTAACAAGAATACACAATTTAGAGAGGAATATATATATAAGTGAATTAATGGAGCTGAAAAACACAACACGAGAACTTCGCGAAGTATGCACAAGTTTTAACAGCCAAATTGATCAAGCAGAAGAAAAGATATCAGAGGTCAAAGACCAACTTACTGAAATAAAACGAGAAAACAAGATTAGAGAAAAAAGGATAAAAAGGAACGAGCAAAGTCTCCAAGAAATATGGGACTATGTGAAAAGACCTAACCTCCGTTTGATAGGTGTGCCTGAATGTGACAGAGAGAATCAATCCAAGCTGGAAAATACGCTTCAGGATATTATTCAGGAAAACTTTCCCAACCTAGCAAGGCAGGACAATATTCAATGCCAGGTAATACAGAGAACACCACAAAGATATTCCTCAAGAAGACCAACCTCAAGGCACATAATCGCCAGATTCACCAGGGTTGAAATGAAGGAGAAAATACTG